TGCACTAATATAATAAGTGTCACATACCCAATAGTTAATGAAAATGACGCATACAACGTCGGCGGCATGTAACGTTACGTTTGACAATTGCACGTAAAATTTATCGGCGCATATTCGACCGCTGCTCTGAGGCGAAGGCACCAAGGCCGATAGAAACGAAACCTGAACGATCATGGGTGCCGCAGGACGCTAACAAAGTAGATCCCGTCAACAAGTAGAGGGTCCGCAGAGCAAGCAAAAAACCCAATACCAACGTCGTGGGCTCATGAACGACCGGTAGTGCCTCGGCAGGCTGATATGTAAAGCCCCGGCCAGAGCACAGCACTTCCGAGCGAGGGAAATTATCCAAGACTATGAGTTAATGCCCCTGTGTGATCAAGAGTGCACGGGCAGGTTAACAACACGAGTCTCATAGGATTAAAGAGCCCTCCGCAAATGAGACTAAAGGGAGAGAGCCCGCGATCAAAGCGGATGGCCCCTGAGTATTGAGTGCCTCCGTGCCTTACATTATAAAAGCCCTGGCAACAACACAAGGCCCTCCAAGCAAGCAGAAAGAACCCGACATTTAAATGAAGGGCTCCTGAGCAACTGAGTGTACCTTGGCATATGGGACCTGGAAAAAGTGTACGTACTACGTAGTCTTTCTGGCGAATGGGGAGAACCCGCGGAGGAAAACCTGATCGATCAACGGTGTTCAGGCATGGAGGCAGATAGCGTCCCAACAGCGCATTGGGCCGTACCAAAAAATGCAAAGAGATCAGGGGCAACGTGGAAAGCTCCTTAGCGATCAGATTGGCCCGACAAGTGGACATGTAGATCCAGAAAACCAGCAGCGCAATAGCTCTAGACAACGTAATGAGCTCCAAAAATTGCTCGAGCAGCACTTCTTCAATCAGCAAAAATGAGCTTGGTCTGCTTATGAACTCTTTTCTTTTGCTAACAATTGTTCTTGGTCGTCTGTAAGCCTAAAGGCTTCGATTTTGTTGTGTTCTTGTTGTAAGAAAACTGCGCCCGTCCGGCCGGTTATGGGGCCTTTCGGAGCCTTTAAGCCCCCTCGGCATGGTCCATGGGACATGGTCCCGTGCCTCCTCTCCCTCCTCTGCGTCCTTCACCGGCCCGAGCAGGTTAATAGATGGGGCCCGCCAAGAACATAGAGCCATCCATTTAAAAAAGAAATACTCACGATGCAATGTGTAGGGCTCTGAACGATCGAGTGCGCCCGAGCAGGCTAACATAGAGAGGCCCCCATGAAGGGCGTAGGGCCCTCCATTCAGCTAGGAAGTACGCAAGACCCGAGGTAGAGGGCCCCCAAATGATCGAGTGTGCCCGAGCAGGTTAACGGATAAGGCTCCCAAAAAGAGCGTAGGGCCCTCCATTCAGATAGGAAGTATTCAAGACCCAATGCCGAGGACCCCCGAATGATCCAGTGTGTCAGACCAGGTTAACATATAGGGCCCCGTCGAGAGCGTAGGGGCCTCCTCCCAAAAAGAAAGCACCCAAAACCTAATGAAGAGCGCCTCCGAATGATTGAGTGTGCCCGAGTAGGTGAACAAATAGGGCTCCCAACAGGAGCGTAGGGCTCTCCATTCGAATGAGATGCACAGAACACCTTATGTGAATGGCCCCATAATGATAGAATGCGTCCGAGCAGCTTATCACAAGGGGCCTTACAAGAACGTAGGGCCCTCCATTCAAATACGAAGTACCCAAACCTCAGTGCGGAGGGCCCCCGAAAAATGGAGTGTGCCTGACCAGATTATCAGGTGGCCCAGGCAGGAGTGTAGGGCCCTAAATTAAAACACCAATGCCCAATGTGCAGGGCCGCCGGACAATGCAGTGTGGCCGAAGCGGCGAAGAGATGGGGTTCCCGACAAGTGCGAGGGGCCCTCCATTCAGATAGCAAGTGCCCAAGACGCTATGTGGAGGGCCCCGGGATATTCAAGTGTGCCCGAACAGGTTAACAGATGGGGCCCCGGCAAGAGCGTACGGCCTTCGGTTAAAAAATCGGGCCCCCGAAAAGCGCGGCGGGCCCTCCATTAAAAAAGAAATACCCAAAACCACATGCAGAGGCTCCCACGATCGAATGGGCCCGAGCATCTCATCAGAGGGGGGAGGGGGGGGGGGGGGCAACTGGAGCGTTAGGCCCTCCATTCAAATAAGAAGTACTAAAAACCCAGTGCGGAGGACCCCCGAAAGATAGAATGTACCCGAACAGGTTATCAGACGACCCGGATAGAAGCAGAGGGCCTCTAAATTCAAATACCAAGAACCCAAGTGCAGGGCCCCCCGAGCAATCCAGTGCAGCCGAGGAGGCGAACAGAGGGAGCCCCGACAAGTGTGTAGGGCCCCATTCAAACAGCGCGTGCCCAAGGCCCAATGCAGAGGGCCCCCGAACGATTACATGTGCTGGAGCGGGTTATCAGATAGGCGCCTCCCCCCAAAAAGCATAGCGCCCCCATTAAGAAAAGAAGTACCCGATTCCCAGTGTGAAGGGTTCCCGAACGACTGCTGTACCCAAGCAGGTCGTCAGATGGGCCCCCGACAAGAGTGCAGGACCCTAAGTAAGTGACAGAGAATTAGAAGCGCCGTAGAGCAATGAAAAGGGCCGATGAGCATACTGCAAGTGTGTCGGTAGGTTAACTGAGACCAACGCAAAGGGCCCCTCAGCGACCGAGAATATCCCGGCAGGTTAAGATGAAGGACCCATGCTATAGCCCACACAGCCTTTCTGGCGGATAGAAAGAACACGTGGAAGGGCCCGTGATTGACAAGAGTTCCCCGGCACGCTAGCAGGAAGGGCCCTAACAACAACGCATGGCCCCCCGAGCAAATGCAAAGAAATAAAGGGCAACGTGGAATGCTCCTTAACTATCGAAATGATTCTGCAAGTAGGCATATAGGTCTCCCAGAAAAACCATGGGCCCTCAAGACAGTGTAATTAGGCTCAAAGTTTCCAGTTCACAACTTTTCAATCATTCATTTTTTGGCTTCTCATAAGCCCTTCACTTTTGCTTACAACTGTTCTTGGTCGTCTGGAAGTCCAGAGATATCCAGTTTTGTTGCGTTTTGTGTTAAAAAACTGCACCTGTTCGACCGGCGATGGGTCCCCTCGGAGCCAGTGGGCCCTTTCAGGGGCCAGGGGGGAGGGGAATGGCCTCGTAGCCTCCCTCTGGATCCGCCCCTACGTACCGCAACACATCGGCGCGACCCTAGAGAAACCCGAGGCAATCGCGCGCCCGCTGACCGTCTCGTCCTGTGACGTCACTGCCGTCCCGTGCCAGCTGACGCCAAACTCCGCTGTGTAGCGGGATACGGCCGGCCGACGACGGCCCAAGCAGCGGTGGCTCGCAATACCAGTGACGGGCGCCGGCGGCGTTGGTGGCGACAGCGCCTGGGCCATGTCAGGGGAGTCGCAGATGCGTCAGTTTCACCCTGAGGGCGTCAGCACGTTAGTGGTCCCAGCCACGACAGTCCCAGGGGGGAGGAGCAGAAGCCGCCTTACCTACGTTAGTGGTCCCACCCACGACAGTCCCAGGAGTGAGGAGCAGGAGCCGCCTTACCCACGTTAGTGGTCCCACCCACGACAGTCCCAGGAGGGAGGAGCAGAAGCCGCCTAACCTACGTCCGATGGCGAGTGTTCGAATCGGGGCAGAAGCCGCCTAACCTACGTCTGATGGCGAGTGTTCGAATCGGGGCAGAAGCCACCTAACCTACGTCTGATGGCGAGTGTTCGAATCGGGGCAGAAGCCGCCTAACCTACGTCCGATGGCGAGTGTTCGAGTCAGAAGCACACAACGTCAGCGCAACGAGCACTGTGTGCTTGTGCAGCAATCGCACATCGTAGCCTTAAAGCGCAGTTATGCATAGACCTAGTGAATTGCCCACATAAAAGCATTGCTGTCGGCTAGCACAGCAAATGCAAAGCTTTATGAAAATAATTACCTGCGACACCCGCACTTTCCCTGCCTGCAGATATTTTACACATATTCCAAAACTGACAAATCACACTCGATGGAAATAAAGCGATGGTGGACTTCCCACCCATCACCACTACTGGACACAAACAGCATTGCGAAGTAGCGCGTACATGCAATAGGATGCAGGTATCTGCAAGACGATGTGCGGCCGCCTCTCAAGCAGTCACCGCGCGAGCTATTTGCTGCCAGGGCCTGGCCATGGAGCCGTGAGTGAGCGCTCATCATGACGTACAGACCGCTATGACGTGGCCCATCGTATGGCCTTCAAATACGGCATTGACGCCCGACCAACCGAGATCTACAGACACACTCGTCGAATTGCAGATGTAATTAGGCGATGTGTTTACGAGCTGTCGGGCTTTTAGGCGAACGGCACTTCGCAGGTAACACATGCAACTCAAGTTTTCTATTGCAAGGTGCTAACGCGCCAAAATTCCATCAGAGGATGCGTATTTTATTGGTGGGCCGGGATGGTGGTCCGATGACACAGACTCGTGTTGGTCGGAGGCAGCGATCCATCAGCGCCGCTGCTTTTTAGGCCGCAGCAGGGGGGCGATCAAGGCAGACGCTAGTTGCTTCATCTCTGTCCATATCCTTTCATCTACATCATCAATCAGAGAGGCAGCACCGGGTGACTGCACCACAAAACAGACCAGAAACAAACACTGGCGCGGCACCATCGCTACCGCGGTCGGTCCACACAAAGAACAACCTTTCGGCCAACAGGCCGGGGATTTAACGCATCAAGCCACTAACGCTGGAGGTCTTCCAGCGATCCTAGCGCACTAGTCCAAAATGGGGCTCTTGTTCATCACTCGTCACATATAAGACAGGTGGCTCACCAGTCCTTCGACGACGCAATAAAGTGTAACTTTGCTTCTTACGCCTTCACCATCATCATTAAACTTCAGTCCATTCTTCCAACTCCTTTTCTAATCATCGCCACTGCGCCGCTCGTGTCGAGCACGGCACAGCCCTGATCGGGCTCTTGCCGCCAGCGCTGGGAGGGGGGGGGGGGGGGGCTCAAAGGCCCGTCGTATACTCCAGGGCCTCCTTGGTACCGACGGTCATCATGCGGCCCGGCTGGTGGATCAAGTCCACCACTTGCTCCAGGTAGGCGCCGGGCGGCGCGCCTGGCTCGTTGTTCGCCACGAACACACTGTTCCAGTACTTGCCGTAGCTGCCCCTGTTCAGCGTACAGGGCAGGCTCATCTGGTCGGCAAGAAACTTGTAAAGCAGCGCGCGACACCGCAGGCCAGCCTGCTCCACATCACCCACGGGCAGCACATTACTGGCATGGCGGCGGCGCAGCTCCTCCAGGTGCGGCTCTGGTGACCACGAGCCGAGCTGCTCGCGCGCCACCGCGCCGCCCAGCCACCGCGCCACCAGCTCGGCGAGAGCGTTGCCCTGGCGCTGGTCGCTCTCGAGCGGCGCCAGGGCCGTTCGCACGTACGCCACATATTCGGCGAGCCGCGTGTCGGCGAGCGACGTCGGCTGCGCCGGCGGCGACGCCTCGCGAGGCGCGCTGCTCGAGCGGCGTCCGCGACGCGGCGAGACGTTGCGCACCGGCGGCGAGCGCGCCGCGGCCGGCGCGGCCGCGCCCTCCGCATCCGGCCGGCCCGAGCACACGCCCGAGTTGAGCAGGAATACGAGCCGCGTGGGACTGAGCGGCCGCCCCATCTCCGCCGCCAGCTCCGGCACGGCGTCGCCGTCCGCCCGCCGGCCGACGTCGAAGAAGCCGTCAACGAGCCGATGGTGCGCGCTGAGCCGGCCGAACTGGCTGTATAGAGCCGACAGGTTCACCTGCAAGATGATCTTGAGCGCCGAGGTAGCGTGCACGGAGCGCAGCGCGCCGATGGCGGCGGCGCTGCACAGCTGCTCGGCGGCGGACGAGTCGGCGGCAGCCACCTGCAGCGCCCTCACGGCCGCAGTGCGCACGGCGGGGTAGTCGCTGTCAAGCAGTCGCAGCAGCTGGCGCACGCCAGCGTGCTCTACCAGCTGGCGGCGCGCGCGCAGACTCAGGCTGAGCACGCCGAGCGCCTCGCAGGCAGCGACCAGCAGTGGCGCGCTTCCTGCCACCAGACAGGCCAGCAGCCGGTCGGTGGCGCGGCTGGCGGCTACGGCCGGCCGCACCGCCTCCTGGCCGGCCAGGTTGGCGATGGCGGCCGCTGCATGCGCCGCCGTCTCCTCGTCGTCGCCGCCCAGTCGGTCAACCAGCCGCGAGAGGCCGTCGGCCGCCTGCCGGCAGGCGGCCTCGTGGCCGCGCGTGATCGCCGCCAGCGCCAGCGCCGCCACGCGGCTGGTCTCGGCGGCGCCCAGCATGGCCAGCAGGAGCGCGACGGCGCCCAGCTGTACCAGCTCGTCCTGCGCGGCAGGCAGCTGCGCGAGCGAGGCCACGGCCAGCGCTCCGCCGCCCTGGCTGCCGGTGCTGGCCGAGCCCAGCATGGCCGACACGATGACGGTTTCGGCACCGAGCTCATGCAGCGCCTGGCGGCACAGCTCGTCGCCGCCGAGGTGGCCGATGACGGCACCACACTGCGCCAGCACCTCGGGCTGGCCGCTAGCGCGCGCCGTCTGCACCATACGCAGCAAGCCGCCGTTGTGGTGCATGACGCGCACGTTCTTGGTGTCGAGCGAGGCGTGCTCGAGCACAGCAATGATGCGCGCGAACTGCGCTTCCTGTGCGGCGTCCTCCAACAGGGCGAGCAGGTCCTCCAAGCCGCCGACCTCCCGAAGCCGCTGCCGCCCCTCCTCGATGTACATGGCCTTACGCAGCGTCTCCAGCGCCATGCTGAACAGCACCGAGTGCTGCACGCCCCGCAGCGCTAGCGCCCGCTCGATGCCGTCGCTGGCGACGAGGCTTCGCACCGCCTGGAAGTCGTGCAGGATGGCCAGCAGCGTGTCCAAGCAGTTCTTGAGCACGTCAGGGTCGGGTGAGACTAGACGCGCCACCAGCGCAGGCACCGCATCCTCGGCCAGCAGCGCGGCCTGGCCGACCGGCTCGGCGGCCATCTTGCCGAGCGCACCACTGACGAACTCGTCAACGACGTGATCGTCGTCGCGACCGAGGATGGCAACCAGGGTGGCCACGCTGCCGTCCGAGAGCAGCGCCGCCTGCACGGCGCCGTTGGAGGCCAGCTCGCTAAGCGTCATGGCGGCCATGCGGCGAACGCTACGGTTGGCGTGCTGCAGGTGTCCGAGCAGCAGGCGCAGGATGTCGTACTGCATCAGCAGCGCCTGGTTCATCTCGCCCTCGTGCGCAAACTTGTAGAGGGACTGACACGCCTTGAGCACCAGGTCCTCCTCCGTGGCGTTCAGCATCAGCGCCACCGTGTGAGGAGTGTGTGTCTCCCAGCAGAAGGGAGGCTCGACGCGACCGCGTTCGATCGGCTCCGCCTTTGGAGGGGGCATTTTCGCTCCCGAGATGACCCACCCGCACAACCAAGCCTCCGGAAGTTTCAGACGAAAACTAGAAGTAAGCTATCAACACGGGCGGCCAGCTGCGCCCGTCGGGAAAGTGCTGATGTCGGGTGCTCTTATGAATAACAAATCGCATATATTTATGTAGACTTTACGTGGCATTCTAGAGTACCATTTCTTTCAAGACTTGTATAGCTGGATGTTTTTTCTAGATACGCTACACTTGTAACCACGGTTATTAATCTAGTGAAGAAGCTAGCTTGTTTTAGCCCAACTCCAGTGTAGGGCAACTAAATACTTCCAGCTTAGGATCTGAAGGTTTAACACAAGTCCGTGTGAACGTTGACATTCGCCCGCGTGCTTTTCATATTTCACCTCCGTCAGTAAAAGATCGGTCTTCCATATAATACCGACAGTTGGCACGACCAGCACATTTAAGATCTTCTTTATTAACCTCATGGTTAGTGGTTGGTTAGATTCAGAATATTTCAAACGGATGCGATGCGCGTTGGACTTCCAAGGCCTATCACTTTTAAAGAACGCGCGGCCTCCGTTGATCAGGTCCTTTTGCAACCAATGAAACCTGGAACCCGGCGGAACATAGTTTGTACTTTTTACTTGTTTATCTAGCCTCCAGCCATTGACTTCCAAGGTTGCCTGCTGAGCTGGCTTTCTAAAGTCGGAGAGGGTCCAGCAACACGTGCATAAATTCCGGAATCAAATTCTTGCGCTTGTATCGAAAAGCATTTGTGCAGCGGCATGTGTAACGACACCTTTCCTATCTTGCAGGCCGCACCGTTCCGCTTGAGTATGACCAGTTGACAAATGCCGTTGTCTAGTGTCTATTTTCCGGCCGCCTCGAGCTGTCCGAAACCTCAAGGGCCCATGCATTATCTGCATCGACCATGTGCAAAGGCCAGCTCATCCTGGTGAAAATGTGTAAAACTCCATTTGACACTCACTAGCAATTGTACTCCACAAATTGCGTTTTATATCTTGTATTAACACAAGTTGAAATAATCCACTTAAGCCTTAAAGAAACGGCACCTCGTCGACAAACGCAAGCTATCCACAGCTTTAAACAGTACGTGATCAGCGGTGCAGCGCAAGCTAACGTACGTCTGAGGACGGAAAAATAAACTATTTGATCAACTTCTACATAGCAGACAACAAAAATCACCGACCACTCACACCGACCACATCACCATCATCCGGTCCCTTGGCGAAGGCCCTACGACGCCAGATTTGAGACGGGCAAAAGCAGGGCACTGTTAACGTTCCCCGGGCACGGGCGGCCACAGCTCAGATTTGGCAGCGAGCGCGTCCCTGCCACTAAGTCACACTCTGCGGCCATATATATAATATATATATGGCCGGGGCATACATAATAAGGGGCAGACCGAGCGGCGCCGCCTCGCTCGCTCCCACCCCGGCCCAAAGACCAAGCTCACACACCCCGCCAGCTACGAACGGCGGCAGACGCCAAGGGGCCGCCGTGGCCCTTCCATGCCGTGTGGCAGCGCGCATGCGCACGGCCGACGCTGGGTGAAGGGCTGCGCGTGGCGTCCAGACTGGGGCTACGTTGACGCACGGTGTAGATAGAACATGATGCTGGTGGTGCGCTCCGGTCCGGACTGGCCCCCAAATACCTGACACTGGCACCTTTATCATCAGAATAAACACCTCTGTGTGATCAACAAACAAGACAAAGTCCAACTCACAGCACATCAGCCGGTGTCGAGGCTCTGACCGACAATAGCGAAAAGCACACGCCACGGTTGGCCAATCGAAACACATCGGAGCCGCGCGCAACTCCGCAAAACGTGAAGGATTACTTAGTACTGAACAAACGCAAACCCCAACACAAACTACAACAAGACGGGGAGGCGAGATGTGACATGAAGGAAGCACATTAGATCACAAGTGCAGTAAAGATACCAGCGCAAGATTTCAGGGCTTTCCTTTGACTAATAGACAAACTATCTGGGAGACCAAGATTCACAACAGTTAGTTATGATATAGGGTAAAATGTTGCTGCACCATGAGCTTTCGAAGTTCTTCTTCAAAAACATCGAAGTGGTGCTGGGATACCAGTCCAATTAATCAACTGTTACATAGCATTACAGCTCAATAGTCTACAAGCATCCATGGATGACGAAATTCATTACAGGTGCCAGAGGATTTACGGAAACACCTGAACCCTGCAGTGCCATATCTGGTGCAAACAGCTCTACATTTACAGAAGGAAGCTAATTCGCCCTGCTAAATCGCATGTGATAAGATGGAAGAAGTTCCCACATGCACCAAGCCAGGACAATGCTCACACATGGTAACTCCTTAGCTGACAGCAAGCATTTGAAGATGCCACTTAGTTTCTGCTGGTGGCCGCCACAATCTGCAGAATGTAGAGGAAGAGGTTGATGATGTCCAGGTAGAGATTCAGCGCGGCGAAGATGTACTCCTCCGGCGAGATGGTATACTGGTGCTTGCCACCCATCATCATCTGAGTGTCCACCACCAGGTACACGGAGAACAGCAGAGCCCCAAGCGACGCGTAGATGAGGCTGATCACCTGCAAACGGCCGGTAGATGGTAGTAACACCCCGCACACTCGGTCATCTCTACCCAGCATGAACAGTCGTCACTAACCTCAGGCTTTATCGATACCCAGCGGCGCAGGTGTTGGCGCACATGGTGCCATGACAGCTTTGGCACCTTGTGCAGGTGGTGGACAGTTATATAAGTGTAACTGGTCTGGTATGACAGATGTCTTCCAATACGTACATGCCATCCGTAACGTTAACATAAAATACTCCTCTCGTGCTCGAAACACAAGCCCATGAAGGAAAATAGAACGCGATGCGGCAAGCAGCTGGTGCACAGTGTAAGGAAATCTCCTCAGAGCGAAGGGCCCTGACCCTCTTAAGCCCAAAATATTCGGTGCGTGCAGCCAGTGATCAGGACATATTGCTTTCCTTTGCGTCCGGGAGTCCCAATCCGACTCCTTCGCCACCCTAGAACCACCAATCAATGACAGCATAGCGCCTGCGCCACACACTGCACGGGAGCTGGGGCGGCGGGGTGTCTTAATGGACCAATCTTCCTGGTGACCTGCAGATGCAAGGCCCAGTTCTAGCGCAGCTGGACGCCAGCCAAGATGTCCATATCAACGGTCTGAAGAACTTTCGAATGATTCCATGACGACGTTGTCGCTTTTTACCTCCACCGGCACTGCATATGACAGCTATCCAGTCGGAGCCGTGCTGTGCAGCAGGCGGCTGCGCGCATGGCGACGCGGCTGCGCGCCGCGCGGCGTACAACACCGTGGGTCCCCCATACACGGCTGTGCGCCGCGCGGCGTACAACACCGTGGGTCCCCCATACACGGCTGTGCGCCGCGCGACGTACAACACCGTGGGTCCCCCATACACGGCTGGGCGTACAACACCGTGGGTCCCCCATACACGGCGTGCGCCGCGCGGCGTACCACACCGTGGGTCCCCCATACACCGGCTGTGCGCCTCGCGGGCGTACAACACCGTGGGTCCCCCATACACGGCTGTGCGCCGCGCGGCGTACAACACCGTGGGTCCCCCATACACGGCTGTGCGCCGCGCGGCGTACAACACCGTGGGTCCCCCATACACGGCTGTGCGCCGCGCGGCGTACAACACCGTGGGTCCCCCATACACGGCTGTGCGCCGCGCGGCGTACAACACCGTGGGTCCCCCATACACCGCGCGACAGGATATGCTCCACACACTTTGCTTTGTATGCAGAGCTGCGTACGTATCATGAAGCGCAGGGCTCGCTAAACATCGTGCTTTCCGCATTAGCCCTCCTATCTTGTTTCAGGCTTGCGACCGTCTGCGATACAAATGTTTGCACCCGCGAATATCTTATCCTCGAGCACGGGTCCGGCGACCATTCGCATCGTACAGCAGACAGTGGTCCGGCTTCCACGAGCGACACCAGTGTTCTGCATGACATATGTACCCCGAACGGGCAGCGGCGTGTGCGGCACCAGCTGCAACGGCATGCTTACATAATGACCGGATATCGCGTACTTCCCGTTGAAGTCGACCGTCAATAGCATCATGCATTGCAAACAGAATGCTACTGAATAACGCAGCGACATGCACGTTATAGGCAACACAGATGTCACCTCTTTGTACTTCCCACTTATTATAAGTTCAGACGTGTCCAATATAATTGGCAAAATCAGATCTTCAGAAATCCTTCAAAATGGCTCTGAATTTCGATTTACAGTCAATGAAAGTAACTGATTTCCTGAGAAAGAAAACACGTAGGACACTGCTCACCTCTATAAAAACAATACATTTTATTTGCCTTTCTTTTTCCAACAGAGGTGGTCTGTAATGTTTGCAACACATCATTTCTCATAATAACTGTGTAACAACTGCTACGAAACGTAGAAACACTCAGTTTAGGCAGACATGCAAGCATAAGGCCATTATCCCGCACATTCAAAGAACCGTCATATCATGGCTTTGAATTCAACTTTGCTTTTTAGTTTTGTTATGATGGCGTTTACCACTGTGGCTCTTTTCGAAGCGCATTTTAGGTTTGGGAATGGGAGTATCACATGGTCCAAAGTCACGCACTGGTTCAAAACCTTGACCAATGCGCCTTTCAGTAACTGGCCCTTGTCACATACTGTGCCAATCACAAACATTCATTTGTACTGACGTCATACACACCACATGTGCCACTTTTTAGCCCGCACGGCAGCACTTTGCTGGTCAACAGAGCTAAAAAGTGGCATCTCTAACCCGTCACAGCTGACAGCGGCCCTCTGCACATTCTGCCGTCATAACGAGGGCGGTTGTCATGACGGCGGCAGTCGCGACGAACTGCAGCTGCCACGAAAACAAGCGTAGTGCTGTTACAAAACGTTGACAGCGTAATTTGGACTCGAAAATAACTACAATGTTTTTACTTTCTACAACTTTCTTAGATCTCGATCATGCTTCAGTGACAGTACCCAGTGCCATCATTAGACATAACTGGTCCTGCGTTTTCATCGGAGCATGTTTTTGAAATATGCCCCAAAACGTGGGACGCTACCTTTAACGCCGAGAACCGTCACCTTATGTGATACTCACCTTGCCCGGGAAAATCATGGCGAACAGGCCGAAGATCATAAGGACGATAAGGCAGACGAAGAGCACGCCGTTGCAGGTGGTGAAGTCGTACTTGGTTTGAAACGCAAACATGGTGAGCGCAAGACAGACGACCGCACAGATTCCGACGGCGATAAGCACCTGAAGAGCACGCACGGGGCAACGGAGCATTTAGAATGCGGTCATCATCAGTCAGTTCACAAAATACCAGCCAGGTTGATACGAGTTCTGATCATAAGCTATCCTTCCCAAATGGCATGCTTTACCTTTTCGTCCAACACTTTCGATCACATCAAACACCGGCGCGAACTGGCTCGACACGTCGAGACGCACAACATTCAATCATCAGCCCCCCCCCCGCGCACCACACCGCGCGACCACACGACACCGGCACAGGGGCACGCTGCGCACGGCCGCCCGTGAGCGCACTCCTACTCACCTCTGACGCCTTGAAGGAGGCGCAGGCGCACCCAAGCAGCACGCCCTCGCACACAGTGAAGACGCCGAGGAAGATAAAGTTGTGCGGCGTCTTGCGTCGCATGTCCGTGCAGCAGGCCAGTGTCAAGATGCAGACGAGCGTGCCGGCGAACGCCAGCCAAAAGATCCACGTGTTCTTGACGGCGTACTCACGTACGCTCTCGGCGAAAAAGATGCCGATGAGGCCGGCTGTTACCACCAGCTGCATCATCAGGATCGAGTACACCTTCCTGTCGGCGAGAGGGGACGGGGGTCACGCCGGGCTGCCGGCTCCATCTGCTCAGTCCGGGCCGGACACCTACACTGAAAAGGCTGCTGGCTCCATCTGCTCAGTTCGGGCCGGACACCTACACTGAAAAGGCTGCCGGCTCCATCTACTCAGTCCGGGCCGGACACCTACACTGGGAGGGCTGCCGGCTCCATCTGCTCAGTCCGGGCCGGACACCTACACTGGGAGGGCTGCCGGCTCCATCTGCTCAGTCCGGGCCGGACACCTACACTGGGAGGGCTGCCGGCTCCATCTGCGCAGTCCGGGCCGGACACCTACACTGAAAAGGCTGCCGGCCCCATCTGCTCAGTCCAGGCCGGACACCTACACTGGGAGGGCTGCCGGCCCCATCTGCTCAGTCCGGGCCGGACACCTACACTGGGAGGGCTGCCGGCCCCATCTGCTCAGTCCGGGCCGGACACCTACACTGGGAGGGCTGCCGGCCCCATCTGCTCAGTCCGGGCCGGACACCTACACTGGGAGGGCTGCCGGCCCCATCTGCTCAGTCCGGGCCGGACACCTACACTGGGGGCACCAGCTCGTCAGTCGCCCATCTCAATACCGACGCCAGTCTCGCATCAGGAGTGCGGTCAACGCACGCACGGAGCGGGGACGCCAGACCGGCCGTGCTCCAGCGTCCTGCCGCGGCCGGCTTCGCGCGGTCCCGGTCTCAGTATCGACCGTGTCGCAGTGCTCTTATAGTCGGTGAAACAGCAGGGAGACATGGTGAGCAGCCCCGCGGTGCCCACCGTTAGCTCGGCCGCGCCGACAACAGCAGTACGAGCGAGAAGCAGGCGACGGCACCTCACGTCCGGATTACGGACCCGGCACTGAAAGAGGCGGACGTTGTCCACCGCTCCCACGACATCCACACAAAACAAGCCTTCAGCGGGACTGCTGCTAGCAGATACTCCACCCAACGAGCGTTATGCCTGGCCTGAAAAGTCACGCCTGAAAAAATGGCTGGCCTGAAAAGTCTTTGACTCGCAGATCAACAGGGCACTTGAATAAGCCGGCAGCTCGGCCAATATGCCACTCCAGGTCACACTGCTCACCTGATGAAGCCCTTGCGGACCGACTGTTCGCTGAAGTCGAACGCCGAGCCCGTCAGCGGCTCCTGGTAGTCGTCGCTGGCGCCGCCATAGTAGGTCGGTGCCGAAGGCTGCTGCATGGCGTGTGGCGACGGTAAGACGTGCGGCTGGCTGGAGACGGACGACTCAGTGCTGGCGAGCGTCGGTATTGGGGAGACGGCCCGGTCTGCCGACGGCGCGCCGAACAGGGGGCGACAGTCAGCGAGCCGAGCCAGCCCGGACACGCTCTCGGAGCCCAGGCGGCATATGTGGCGGCCTAACGGTCGGCGACAGTCCACAGATTCGAACAGCGTGCACAGCAGCGCGCTCGCGATAACAGTGCACGGCAAAACTCTCACCGCTTCCGT